CTAATGTTTTATCTTGTTGAAGACAGAAGCATCCCCACTTATTTGTGGAATAATCACTAATGTTTCAGAAGCATTATAAATGGTTTAGCATTTACTTATTAAGCATTTCCATTCTAGGCAAATACTAAGTGCCAGGTGAAACCTGATGTTAGATTTAATTCCTCAATTTATGAGACAAAGGTTGGAAATACAGTAAGTCCTTGACCAGGAGTGTTTCATTTCCTTGTATTTGGGAACTTCAGATGGTTCAAGATGGGCCTCTTTGAAGAAGGAGTGAGATTGAGACTGTTGAAGAGAATTTTGAAGGATATAAATAAAATGATATTGGCTTAGAAGGATGGTGGAATATACTAGAGGGACTTAGGCAAGAGTGGGAAGAAATAATGATAGAGATGGTTTACAAAAAAAAAACAAAAAACTTCAACCTGAATATTGTCAACCACAACATCATAGGACAAGGCTACAGTTAATCATGAGTGCACGAGGAAGTAGTCATCTTATCCAAACCCTTCATTTTTTCAGATGAGGAAACTATGGCTCAAGGACATTGAGTGATTTGCGCAAGGTCACATAGGTAGCAAACATCAGAAGCAGGATTTGAACTGAGAAACTAGTGGCTGGATGGCTACTTGTCTGGGGTATTGTAACAATATTTTATTTCCCTACATACACAATTACATGTCAAGACAATTTTTAACATTTATTTTTACAAGGTTTTGAGTTCCAAAATTTTCTTCCTCATTCCCCTCTCCTTCCCTCTTCCTAAAATGGTAGGCAATTTGATATAGGTTATACATGTGATATCATGTAGAACATATTTTCGTGTTAATCACAGTTGTGAAAGAAGAAACAGATCAAAAGGGAAAAAAAACATGAAAGATAATAGAGTAAGTGAAATAAGTAGGCTTCAATCTGCATTCAGAGTCCATTCATTCTTTATCTGGATGTGGGTAACATTCTTTTGTGAGTCCTTTCTACTTGTCTTAGATCATTGTGTTGCTGAGAAAAGCTGAGTCATTCATAGCTGATCATCACACAATGTTGCTGATATTGTATATAATGCTTTCCTTAAATTTTCCTCAATCAATTGGGGAATGGCTTGTATTATTCTTATAAATTTGACTCAGTATTCTATATATTTTAGAAATGAGGCCTTTATCAGAGATACTCGCTGTAAAGATTGTTTCCCACTTTTCTGCTTTCCTTCTAATCTTGGTTGCATTGGTTTTGTTTGTGCAAAAGCTTTTTAATTTCATATAATCAAAATTATCTGTTTTACATTTTGTAATGCTCTCTATCTCTTGTTTGGTCATGAACCTGTAACTCACTTAACGTCTCCCTTAATAATTTGAATGCTATACCACTTGGTGCATATATGTTTAATATTGACATTACTTCATTTGTCTATAGTGCCTTTTTTAGCAAGATATAGTTTCTTTCCTTATCTCTTTTAATTAAGTCTGGTTTTGCTTTTGCTTTGTCTGAGATCAGAATTGCTGTTCCTGCCTTTTTTTTTTTTACTTCAGCTGAAACATAATAGATTCTTCTCCGACCCCTTACTTTCACTCTGTGTGTGTCTCTCTGTTTCAAGTATGTTTCTTGTAAACAACATATTGTAGGATTCTGGTTTTTGATTCAGCCTGCCATCTGCTTCCATTTTATGGGAGAGTTCTTCCCATTCACATTCACAGTTATGAATACTGTGTATTTCCCTCCATCCTATTTTTCCTCCCAATTGTCCTCTCTTTCCTTTCATCCTTTCCCTCTTTGACAGTATTTTGCTTCTGTCTGCTGCCTCTCCTGGTCTGCTCTCTCTTCTGTCCACACCCCCCTCCCCTGCTGCCTTACTTAAGATAGATTTCTTTATTCAACTAATTGTGTATATTATTCCCTCTCTGAGACAATATTGATAAGAGTAAGGTTCAAGCGATGTCCATTGTCCACCCTCCCATCTTTCCCTCCACTGTAATAAGTTTTTTGTACATCTTTATTTGAAATAATTTACCCTTCCTTCTGTACCTAGTGTATTCCTCTTTCTAATTCCTTAATTTTTATGTCATTCCCTCAAATTTGCCTTATACCTGTGCGCTCTATCTATGTATATTCCTTCTAGCTGTCCTATTAGTGGTACAATTTTTAAGAATTACAAGTATCATCTTCCCATACAGGGATGTAAATAGTTCAGCTCCATTGAATCCCTTATACTTTCTTTCCGCTTTTTACCTTTTTAGGCTTCTCTTGGGTCTTGATAGTGGAGATCAACTTTTTGGTCAATTCTGGTCTTCTCTTTATGAAAGCTTGAAATCCTTCTATTTCATCTAATGACCATTTCCCCCCTTGAAATATTATGCTTAATTTCACTGGGTAGGTGATTCTTAGTTGTAGTCCTATCTCCTTTGCCTTCTGGAATATCATGTTCCATGACCTCAGATCCTTTAATGTTGCAGCTGCTAAATTCTGTGTAATACTGATTGTGGCTCCCCAATATTTGAATTGTTTTTTTCTGGCCACTTGCAGTATTTTTTCCTTGTCCTGATAGTTCTGAAATTTGGCTATAATGATCCTTAGAGTTTTTATTTTGGGATTTCTTTCCTGAGGTGATCGGTGGATTCTTTCAATGCCTAATTTTATCTCTGGTTCCAGGATATCAGGGCAGTTTTATTTGATAATTTCTTGAAAGATGTCTAACTTTTGGAGGTTGCCTTTTTGCCCAGAGCTACACTGATGCATGTGGCAGTTCTTGTAGCTGGAGTCTGCCCATTTCTCTGGTTATTCTGAAGCGTGGGATGGGGTCCTGGTATTGGTGTTTGCCTACTGCACCACACTGGGGCTCAGGATCTCCCACTGGTTTGCTGAGGTGGGGCTGGCTGCTGGCTTGCTGGGACACTTCCTGTCTTGGACCACACTCCCCTTATACCCAAGTAAGACAGATCTTTCCTGCCAATCTTCCAAATTTCTTGGACTAAAAGATTGTTTCAATCCATCTTTTTGCTGGATCTGCTGTTCCAGGAGTTTTGGGGTGCTATTTTATGGTTGGTTAGAAGTGAATATGGGAGAGTTATGGCAATTTTCTGCTTCCTCCACCATCTTGGTTCCCAGAAGTCACTCTCTGGGATATTATAGAGGACATCATGCTCCAGTATAGGTTGACCTCTGCGATCTCTTCCAATTCAGAATCTGTGATTTTGTTAATGGTATTGATCAGATGGATTTATTTTTCTCTGGCTTGTACTTGAATCATTGAAGATTTACGTGAAGCTAGAGGCAGAAGAAAATAATCTTTGGTAACTTAGAAGCTACCTGAAATGATCTTTATCTTGGTTTTCTAGACTTTTTAGATTTTGAGGAAGTCACTTAAATCTCTCATGTTTTAGTTGTCTGTAAACTAGGCTTATAATGCTGGTCATTAAAATCACTTCAGAAATGCACTTTTGGGGGACATAGGGGAAGCTCATCATTAGATGTTTAGACACCAAGTGTTTTTCTTTGGATTCAGCAAGCCATGAAGGCCATATACTAACATATAGAATGATTGGAAAGTGTAAGGAACATAGATCCTTGAAATATTGCAATAAGAGGACTCAAAAGCATTTTTAATAATAACATTCACTAGCATTTGTGTAGTGCTTTAAACTTTGCAAAGTGCTTTACATGTTATCTTATTTGATTCTCACTAAACCTCTTTAAGATAATTGCTCTTGTTATCTCCATTTTCCTGATGAGGAAACTGAGACCCCGAGAGATGAAGTGACTTGCCTCGCTAACAAGTGTCTGAGGCAGATATTGGACTCAAGTCTTTCCGCTTCTTTGTCTAACACTTGCGCAGCTAAGCACTCTAGAAGGGCTTCGCAGAGGCACGACAGGACCTGGAAGGATCAGTGATATGTTAGTAGACCAATTGAGGAAATAGGACAAGTAGGATATGTTCAGCAAACAAAACTAACTTTATTTTTCAATAAGAGAAATCTGTCTGATGCTTGTTCCTTGGCTGAAAATAGAATAAAGATCAGAGTATTTATACTCCTCTAGCTGGGTGGTGGAGTGGGTAGAGCATGGCCTGTTGTCACTGTTGTTGTTGTTGACTTGCTTCAGTCCTGTACAACTCTCTATGACCCAATTCTGGAGTTTTCTTGGCAGAGATATTAGAGAGGTTTCCTTTTTTATTGTCCAGATCATTTTAAAGATGAAGAAATTGAGGCAAACAGGGTTAAGTGACTTGCCCAGGGTGACACAGCTAATCAATGAGGAAGAACTGAGTTCAAATGTAGCTTCAGACACTTATTGTTTTATGACAGGAAGTCACTTTCCCTCTGTCTGCCTTGGTTTCCTCATGTGTAAAATGGGGATGATAATAATAGCACTTACCTCTCAGGGTTGTGAAGACCAAGTGAGATAATGCTCCAAATAAGAGGGAGCCTGCCCAGTTTTTAAGACGCTCGAGATCAAAACCTTAGTCCATACAGTGAAGTCTGATGATCGTGCTAGGTCACCTTGTATTATAATAAAAGAAAGGCATTGGATGTGTGATTTCACTGGTATTAGTGAGTTTCTGGTGAGGGAATGTGGAGAAAGTCAGTCTCTTCTCTGCAATTAATCTTAAGAGAATTGTGTGGAAGCACTGAGGGCTTATGTGACTTGTTCTGCATCGCAGGCAGCATGTATCAGGGGTGGGACTTGAACACAGATCTTCTGGGCCTCAAGGCCAACTTGATAGACAGGCCAGGACAGGGAACTTTTATATAACACTTTAAAGTTTGCAGGCCCTTCCTTGCCACATACTGAGGAGGTGAATAGCATACACATTCTTATCCATATTTTGCAGAAGTGGGAACTAATTCACCTACAGGTTACTTGATTTGCCCATGATCCTACAGCTTATCCACGTCCGAAGTGACATTCAAACCTGCTCCTTCTGGTTCTAAGGCCACCACCCCTCATCTTTGCTACCTCTCTTGTATGCAGTGCTTTGTTAATGAGAAAGTGTGATTTTAATTTTGCAGAAGCATGTTGTGGAGACATTTTTTGGATTTGATGAAGAATCTGTTGACTCAGAAACATTATCTGAAACCTCCTATAATACAGACAGGACAGATAGGACACCAGCAACACCAGAGGAAGACCTGGATGATGTAAGTATTATCTCCATGCATGCGTGTGTGTGTGTGTGTGTGTTTCCTTATCCGTGTGTGTGTTTCCTTATCCATATGTGTGTGTGTGCCCATGTGTATGTTTCCTTATCCATGCATGCGTGTGTGTGTGTGTTTCCTTATCCATGTGTGTGTTTCCTTATCCATATGTGTGTGTGTGCCCATGTGTATGTTTCCTTATCCATGCGTGTGTGCATGTGTGTGTATCCATGGGATCAGTCAAGGGAAGGCCTCATTCCTAGTTCTTATTGTTGCCATTGACAAAGTCTTTCTTCTCTGGCTAAAAGATTTAAATACATGACAGCTAGCTTCCAATTTACTTTATTGAAAAATCCCCGCTGCTCATTGAGGGTTCTTTGTTTACTTGTCTTTACAACTGAGTGCTTAAGACATTAAAATAAAGCATTTCCATTTTGTGGAATAAATTAAATAACTCAGATTGTGCAGTGAGGGAGATGTTTGAAGAGTATAAAATACCTAGCTTGGTGTGGTTGCCTGTGCCTGTAATATCTACTGCTGGAGAGGCTAAGGCTCTAAGTTTGAGAGCCCTGAGATGCAGTCCATACTAACCCTGGGATTAATTTATGGAGACGCTTTGGGAGTGCAGGGCCACTGGGTTGTCTAAGGTGAGGCAAACCAAGCTAGGTCAGAATAACAGAACAGTTTAAAACTTCCATTCTGATCAGCTGCAGGATTGGACCCCATGAGTGGCAGCTTTATTTCCAGCCTGGGTGAGATAGGGAGATTCAATCTTCTTTTTTTGGCAGGGTAGAGTGGGAGATATCTTCACTTTATGATCTCTGAGTTAGCGTGTATTTCCAAAGCTTATAGAGTTATAGTAGATCAAATGATATTTACCTATTTACTCTCAGCTTTCACTTTTACCTTGGCATTTAACGTTAAACTCCAGATCTCCTTCCCCAGTCTGATACAATAAACTACAGTTGTTGAGAAACAATAATAACTCACCATTCTCTGGTGCTTTAAAGACTCTTAAAGAGTCTGTTCTGCACAAGAGAGCTATGGGTTTAATAACAATGACAATAGTAATAATTGTAGTAGTAGTTGTTCATTCATGTCTAATTCTATGTGACTCTATGGCCTTTCCATGGGATTTTCTTGGCAAAGATCCTGGACTGGTTTGCCATTTCTTTCTCTAAGGTGTGCCCATTTTGCAGATGAAGAACTGAGGCAAATAGGGTTTAAGTGACTTGCCCAGTTCACAAAGCTAATAAGTGCCTGAGGCTGGATTTGAACTCATATCTTCCTGACTCTACATCCAGTGCTCTATCCACTGCGCCACCTAGCTGCCCCCAACAGTAATAATATCTAGCATTTATTAAATGTTTTCAAAGAGCTTTACAAATATCTCATTCAATCCTCCAAACTCTGGGAGGCTGGAACTATTATTACCCACATTTTATAGTTGAGGAAACTGAGGCAAACAGAGGTTAAATGTTCTGCCCAGGGTTGCACAGCTGGTAAATATTGGAGCCAACATTCCAAACCATGTCTCCTGACCACAGGCCCAGGGCACCTCCATTATGCCAGGAGGCCTCTCAGAGAATGTTTCCCAGAATAACCCTGTGAAGAATATAGCATAAGTAGCAGCACCTTCATTTTCTTTAATGGAAGAAACTAAGATGCAAAGAAATGAAACACCTTGCTCAGCATTGCATGTCTAGCAGGGGATGGGGGTCAGAAGTCAGGATTCCCACCCAGGTGTCCTAACTTGAAGGTACAATGCTGTCTCCATTGCATCATGTTCTAGGATATTAGTGTGCTCACCCAAGCTCTGTAGCATCCAAATTATTATCTGCTGACAAATAGTTCATAAAATCAAGTCTCGTCCACTTAAAGTGATGGGTTTTCCTCACTGAATAGGCCTTTAAGCCTTCCTATACATACAGAAAGGAAAAAACTCTACCAGTGTCTCTGCAAGGTTTCTTAAAGATTTCCCTGTGGGAGGTGCCAAAAGGTAGGTTAAGTGTGATTGGAATTTTACTCCTATCTAAGTAAATGAAAAAGGGAGGTTCATAGAATTAGAAATGAAAGAGATCTCAGAACTGTTCCAGGCCAACCTCCATCCCATTTTATAGATGAGAAAACTAAGGCCCATAGAGGTTGTTAGTACTAAGTAATCCTTGCTTTTTCCCCCTCCTTTCCTTTTTGTTGTTTTAAGACCACAACCAGAGAAGAGGCAGACTTAAGGTTTTGTCAGCTGACTAGAGAATATCAGGCTTTGCAGAGAGCCTATGCTTTGCTTCAGGAACAAGTGGGCGGGACCCTGGATGCAGAGAGAGAAGCCAGGGTAAGTGGGGAAGTGTTTTGTAACAGTTGAATCATGGATGAACATGAAGGCAAATGGGGATGTTCAGGTGAGTGGGATGTCCTGCCGTTAGTGGCTTTCAACATTTGTCCAAAAACCATTTAAAAACTCTTACCATGTGCAGAGCCCTGTGTTGGTTTGTGGGTGGTGGCAATCTTAAAATAAGAAATCGATTCAGTTCTAATGGAACCTAAATTCTATTACCTTCATTATCTTGGGGGTGTTGTTGGTGGTTGTAAAAAGTGTATGGAAAGATTTTAGTATGGTAAAGCTGGGGTCCTTTAAAGATCATCTGGTTTCACAGATAAATAAACTAAGGTCCAGAGAGAAGTGACTTACCACAGATGAGATGGACAATTGATGGTGGATTCAAAGTTGGGTCTTCAGTCTCCAGTTCTTTCTACAGAAGACTCTTACCACAAGATGGCCTTTAATCTGTAGTACATCTAAAGTGCTTTGTCAACCTTAAAGCATTGTATAAATGTTAGCTATTGTCTTTACTATTGTTATTTAATCTATCAATAATTTAGAATATATAGAACTGGTTGAAAATTTCTCCAACATAGAGGGTAACACGAGAATCATATGTCACATAACTAGCACGTAAAATAATTGATCATTTAAATGACTATTAGGTCATAAATGTGTGCATCCTATGTGATGTTTATTTGTTAAAAAAATTTCCAGAATTGAAAAAAGATCATGTGAAATAAAATGAAATCTTAGCATTGAAAGGGACATTATATCACAAATGTTCAAACTCCTATCCAAAATGCTTTCTATAACATTCATGAAAGGTGGTTGTTGACCTCTGATTGAATATCACAAGTCATGAGGTTTTTGCTACATATCATGTTCTGTTACTCAATAATTCAATTCATTTCATTTCAATAACCATTAAGTACAATTGCTGAAAGTTCTTGAAATTGATGCCCACTTAGCCTCCATGTAACTTTTACCCATTGATCCTAGGTCTCCCCTCAAGAGCAAACAAACCAAGTCTACACCCTCTGATAGTCCCTCAAATGTCTGCTGTCCTATCATGTGTCCCTGAACATTTTTTTTCCTTTTAGGGCAAATTGTCTTAGTTCCTTGTATACCCTGTTTTTCATATTCCTCATCATCCTGGTATCCTTTACCTGCACATATTCCAATTTATCAACATCCACTTTAATGTGGGGCCCATAATTACTTGGCTTTGCAAATCCACATACAGTATACTGTCTGAGATACAGAGATCACCCAGACCAGAGACTCTTTAACCTTTGGTGTGTCATAGACCCCTTTGACTCTCTAGTGAAGCCAGTGGAGCCCTTTTCAGAATAATGCTTTGAAATAATTGAAGAAAATGCTAAATTTCAGTTAAAGGTTAGTGAAAATGTAGGTGTATTTTTTTCCAATCCAAGTTCATTGATCCCACAGTGAATAGAATGCATCCTGAGGTCACAAAGACCTGAGTTCAAATCCTGCCTCAGATGCTTACTAGCTATGTGACCTGGGAAAGTCACTTAACCTCTGTTTGACTCAATTTTCTCAATTATAAAATGGGGATAATAATAGTATCCACCTCCCAGATTTATTGTGAGTATTAAATGAGATACCTATAAAGTACTTAGCACAGTGAGTGATACATAGTAAATGTTAGTTATAATAATTATTATTATTATCATTTACCTACTTTGTAAAGAATTAGGAGAAATAATAAGATCAATAATAATAATAATGAACACTATAATAATAATTGTACCATCTGGCATTTTATAGTGCTTTAAGGTTTGCAAATCATTTTACACACATTATCACATTTGACTCTTACAACTCTGATGGAAGTCAGATAATACAGACACACACATACACATGTATGTATATATAAAATGTGCTTTGCAAACTTAAAATACAACATGAATTTTGGCTATTATTATTATTCCCATTATATATGTATGTATATATCATATATATATACATACATATGTGTATGTATGTATGTGTGTGTATACAAGTTCAGAGAAGTCAAGTGACTTTTAGGGAACGAGAGTGTCATATAGTCCCATAACTAAGTGTCTGAAACAATATTTAAACCTAGGTCTTCCTGACTCCAACTTAAGCATTGAGACAGTCCCTTACCTGATGGAATTTATTGTCTAGTAATAAATTAATTATCTTTATGAAGGCTCCAGGATGCCTAGAAATAGTCCTTTACTTTTTACAAAGCACATTTCTCAAAGTGTCTCTGTTATGTAGATACTGCAGGGATCATCTCCATTTTCTAGGTGGGGTAACTGAAGCTTAGAGAGTTTGTAGTGTGCCCAAGATCACATAGCTAATAAACCCGAGTCAGGACTGGAATTGAGGTCTCTTGACCCCACATGTGTTCAAACTGAAAAGCAAAAAGCATTTGGAATTGGCAAAAATAAAAAAAAATCATCTATGGGCTGGCTGGCAATTTTCTTTTGCTTAACTTCATTTGTTCTTTAACCACATTGAATATACCTGGAAGCCTTTTGCTAGTGTGGCCATTTGGAACTTTGCTGTGACACTGCCTTATCTATTTAATGTTTTGCTCACTCATTAACTAAATCTTCTCTAATGGAGTTTGAGATAGACCTGCTTTGTACTTGATTCTCTCCTTTACCATGTGGTCCTATAGGGAGGTCTTTGTCAATATGACTTGAAAATCCAAGCTTCATTCAGTCAAGTGCATATGAATATTTTCATAGCAAAGAGACCTCCCATACCATTTAGTCTAGCCCCATTCAGAACAGGAATCTCTTTTACAACCTTCCTAATAAATTTAGCTCAGAAGCAGTCCCTGGATTCATAGAACTTATAGTCTAGCAGGGGGATAAGACACCATCATAGATATCTCTAATATGCAGTGTTCTATGATTGGTGCATTAAAGAGGTGCTTTCACCAGATGATTGTCTAGATTTAGTATATACCTTGTTCATCAGTTACCATCACCCTACACACATGTTAACCCCTAGAGGAAAGTTTAAAGACAGAAAGATAGATAAGGCATTTATTAAGTGCTAAGTACTGGGGAGGTAAGTACAAGCAAGCAAGACTATCCCTTTGTTTGAAGAGCTTACATTCCAATAGGAGAAGAAAACTCATAAAGGCGAGCTGAACAAAGATGGAGAAGGGAGAGAGTACTTATTTTTGTAGGTAGGGATATGGTATGGAGATAGTTGCCACACTAGGAACTGCAGTGTAGGCCTAAGCCTCATCAAGATAAAAGTGAAATCTTATCTTTCAAATGAGAGGTGGGAGACTATGAAAAAAATTTTTAAAAAAGCAATCTTAAAAATGCGAGAGGATGAATATTTATCCGTGTAGCAAGTAGAGCAGAAAAAGTTTTATGGGGCATAATAGAACACCATTTGGACTTTAATCATTGTTGTGGAAATGAAAAAGTATAACACTCATTTACAAGATCGATGTGAAAGAGGGATTCTTTTATGCCCTAAGATAAGAATCTTATCTTTCTTAGTGGGGTTACTCCTAATGGAAGACAGAAGAAAATAGGAAATACGGGTAAAGCTGATATAAATTTAGCCTGTAAATGAACCAGTTTGCAACACTATTTTAAAAGTTATACTTACATTAGAAAAAACAAAAACAAAAACAACACAACAACCATATCAACACTCTTGCTTTTGTATGCGGTGTTTCTACCCTCATTTGCTTCATGTTGATAAGACTACTCATGTTCTGTTTTGTTATTCCAGACCCGTGAGCAGCTACAAGCTGATCTAATTAGGTGTCAGGCCAAAATTGAAGATTTGGAGAAGTCGCTAATTGAGAAAGGACAGGTAAAAAGTTACGTTTGTGTGTGTGTGTGAGCGTGCATGTGTGTGTCTGTGTGTGAGTCTGTGTGTGTTTCTCTATGTTTTGTATTTTCTTCATATTTCAAAAATATGCATAACTACTTGGTAGAATGGCATTGTAGATGTGGTTTAATATCGATTTAATATACAGAATCACAGGATTGGAGAGTTGGAAGGGATTACAGCAGTTATCTGGTCCAAATCAATACATAAAAAGAATACTTATGATACTGTACTCAGTAAGCAGTCATCTAGTCTTTGCTCAAAGACCTCCGCTGACAGCGAGTCCATGGTCACTCAAGGCTGCCCATTCCACTTTTAGACATCTTTAATTTTTAGGAACTTTTTCCATGACATCAAGCCCAAATTGGGCCCTTTGTGATTTTGACCCATTGCTCTTGACTTTGTCCTCTGAAGCCAAACTGAACTAACCAAATCCTTCCTACATGTGACAGCACTTCAGTTCCTTTACTGGTACTT